AGTACAGCCACGGGACATGGGAGGCCCCCACTGCCAGGAGGGCTGAGCTGCCCTCCGTGGAGGCAAAGGATGGGGATAGCAGCAGGGCTGCCCATGCTGGTGCTCTGCCTGCTCAGCACTCCCAGGCTATAGCAGTCTCCTGAGATATTTCCTTCCTGGGATCAGGGCTGCTCACCAGGCAGCCTCCCAGCCCCCCAGCAGATGGGAGATGGGGCACCCCACGGCTGGGCTGTGCCACCACACTGGGACAGGCTGTCCCACTTATCACCACAGGAGCTGGACACATCCCATGCAGTGAGGTGGGTTTGCCTCCCCTCTCCTGCACAGCCCTGTGACATCTGAGCAAAACCAGCCCAACACCAGCTAGACATGGCAGGAGACAGTGTCCCATGAGCCACTCCACAGTGTCCCCCTGGGGCCACACTGAAGGGGCTCAGAGCTGCAGCAGCACTGTGGCAATGGTGGGCAGCGGGCACCAGGCTGTACCACCCCTCTCCATGCTGGAGCCCTTGGGCAGCGTGCACACCAGTGTGGCACGAGCTGGGCTCACACCACCTCTCCATCCAGACCCAAAACTGCCTTGGGAGGAGCTGGTTTGAATGGGTTACAACAACCCTGCCTGCTCGGGGACTGAGCCCAGCTGGTCCTGGAGGCTTTGGGTTCGCAGAAACCTTCCAGCAAGCAGAGGAGCCCTGGCCATGTGGCAGCAAAGATGCCAGGACCCTGTCAGGACCAGGAGCCCAGCTGATCCTGGCAACTGGCCTTTGCCAGCATGCTCCCACCGAACCGAGGCCTTGCAGGGCCCATGGAGAAGGGCACGCACATCTGTCCTGTCCTGAGTGGCACATCCCGTCCTTTTTCCCAAGGAGGAGGTGGGAGCAGCTCCCCAGGGCAGGACAAAGCTAGCCTGGGGTTACCTGCGTGGAGTGCAGGCCACCACGGCAGGAGTGTTTATGAGAGCAGCAGAGCACTGGAGGTTGCAGGGTTTAAATAAACTTGAAATCCGCCTCAGCTTCCTTCCCTAATTTCACAAGCTCTGTTTCCTGAGTCTCTGCAGCCAGCCAGACACACTCGGGTGCCACGGACAGCTCTGGCACACAGGGTGCCACTTTCTCTCTGATGAACCGGGCAGTTTGAAAGCACCCTCAGGGAGCATTTCTGAAGCCAGACTGGCTTCTCAGACCTCTCCCAGCCAAGGAGTTTAATGGCCTCTGGGTCAATACACGCCATCAGCTCTTTCTGACACAGCAAAACCACCCGCGCACAACTGGGCTGGGCTCCACCTCCTGCAACCGGCACCGCAAGTCCCACTCCCCCCACTGCACCCTCGGCTCACTGCAGCTACAAGAGCCGACAGCACCTTACGGCAAATTTGGGTGCTGCAGGGAGGGTGCTGGTGAGGCCCAAGGGGAGGCACGAGCCTCAAATCGACAGCTGCGCTCCCGGATGGAGGGCACAAGCGGGGAGCTGCCGAGCTGCCTGCATTGCAGCCACCCCTTGGGAGGTCACCTACAGAAGGGAACAGCAGTTGGTGCTTTCCCCAGTCACTGAGGAAACCCACCCCCCCCCTGCCCCTCCAGCATCAAGGAGCAAGGGGCTCCCGGGGCCTCCCCACTCAGCACCGTCGTGGCAGGCAGCTGCTTCCTGGCTGAGACCGTTACCCCAGCGCAGGGCACGTGGGCGCCCAGACTGACCGCTGCTCAGCCCCATCACTTCCTCCCCCGGCAGCACCCACAGGCTCAGACGCGCCCACGAAGCCACACACCAGGCTGAACGCAGGAGGGCAAGTGAAGGCAGACCCTGCCTGCAGGGAGGGGGGAAGTCGGCGCAGGATCCAGCCCTGCCTTTGCAAGCAATGCAGGTCTGAGTTGTAGGTACGAATCAGCCCCAGGGCCAGGAGCAGCTGCTGGGCCTGCATTTCCCTCTGCCATCAGCAGTGCTGCAGCAGGTACTAGCCATTTCAATCCTGACACACAGGAAGCCTAAATAATGTGCCCCGATCAGTGGCTCAGCACCCAGGTGCTTTGGACCAGCAGTGCCAGTATGGCAGCTGGGGGTCTCCTGAGGGGAAGATGGGGACCTGTGAAGTTGACAGTGAAACACCACAGCATCTCTCCTGTCAGGCCAGGAGAACCAGCAAGAACTGGGGTCGCCCCAAGGACAGCACAGCCCCACCACCCCTGCTCCTCTGGCCCCACTCCTCCCACCCTGAGGACTCTGTGAGGCCCCACAGACGATGGTGAGTGCAGCATCACCTCTTGACATCAGCTGGACCATCCCCATCACCCAGCCATTTAACCCCAGCTGAATATGGTGCCTCCCTCCAAAGCCTCCATTGCTTCCCAGTGTCCCCAGCCCTTCTCCAGGTCCTACTTTGCTCCCACCAGCAGCATGGACAGAGACCCCAAAGAAAAGGCACAGCTGGCACATTCATGTTGCGATAAATGGACAAAAGGGGAGCTTCGATCTGTGTCCTGCTGCACCCCAGAGGCATTCAACCTCCATGCTCTGATGACTGTGGGTGGTGAGACCTGTGGGCAGGTTTGTTCAGAGGATGAGGAGTCTTGGAGACTCCTGCAGCTCAGCCACTCCACTGGCAGGGTGTCACAAGAGCTCACAAAGGAAAACCCCGCTCTGCTCCCAGCCCAGGGCAGAAGGGAACCCCCGGGGCTGCTTTAGCAGAAGAGCCAGGTGGTCCACAGGGAGGGTGGCTGGCTCCTTGCACACTCAGCCCAGCCTCAGGAGCCACCTCCCCACATGACGCTGCAACCTGCCTGCTTTGTCTCGCAGCCTCCTTGCTCCTAGCCCTCTTCCTTTGTCCTGCCGGCTCACCTTCACCACCACATCACTCCAGCTGCACAAAGAGGATACCAGCTCACTTCCTCAAGGAGGGGGTGGGAGAGAGTTGGACCTCCCCTGTCCCCAGATCCCTGACACGGATACCTCAGCCCTGCTGCAATGCTGCATACTCAAGTCACCTCCCAGTTGTGATCCCCTCCCTGTGCACTCAACAGGCCTCAATGCCATCACTGGCAGGGGCCGAAGGGATTAGGTGGGAAGAGCCCAGCAGAAACAACACCACAGCTGCCATCCCCAGGGGCACCCACTCCACCCCTCATGCAAAAGGGACCCCGGCCCTGTGCTGGGCCTTTGTTAAAAGGCTTCATCCCAAGAGAAGTGCAAGATGGAGGATGGGAAGAGTCTAGCCAGCGGGAAATCTCCACCCCCAGCCACCAGCATCACTCGGTTCCCAGGTCAGTATCCTTGCATGGACATCCCCGCCTTGGCACAGCCCAGCCCTGCCCCTGTGCAGGCACCCCAGCAGCACCTGCATGAGGGGGGTGCTGCTACCTCCCCTGCAGCTCCCCCGTCCTTTAGAACCATAGTCTGGCCCTGACTCAAACAGAAAAAGGCAGAAAATCACCATTGCCTGCTTCTAAGACAGGAAGACTGGAGGGGCAGGCAGCACTGGGAGGTGTCCTGGTGCACACACACACGGAGCCCCACACACATCCTCTCTCTCTCCATCACTGATGCTGCACCCACCATCTTTTGTGCTCTCGCTCTGCCCAGGCTGGCAGGGACAGGCCAGGGTAGTGCCCTCCCCAAATCCCCCTCCAAGGACCAACACAGTCCCCCTGCAGACTGCCCTCAGCACCCCAATCTGCCTCGTGCTGTTAGGGGTGCAGACAGGGGGACACAGCGTGCCCTGCCCTCCCCCAAGGTGACCCTACAGCCCCACGGTGGGAGACAAGGCAGATGGGGAGGTCAGCGTGACCGTGTGGGGCTGGGCCTGCCGAGCCGTGTCCCCACGGGCACCCGATCCCCAGCACCATTCCGACCCCCTGCACGGGAGCTCGGGGCGCCAAGGGCCGGGCCGGGCTCACGCTTGTCCGGAAGACGCGGGGCTCGGGGGGGTCGTGGGGGGGGGGGGGGGGGGGAAGCCGCACACGCGGTCCCTTCCCCACGCTGTCTGCCCCGCGGGACGGCAGCTCCGGCAGCAGGAGCCGGGCAGGGTCCCTCCCTGCCTCTCCCGCTGCCTTCGGAGGGACTCGTACCCCCCCTCTTCCTCGGGGGGCTCCTTCCTCCGGGGGCAGAAGGAAGCAAAATGACGCGGGTCTCCGGGACCCCAGCGGCTGTGCACGGAACACACCCAGCCTGGCACGGCGCTAACAAAGAGCCCCCCCCCCCCCCCCCCGGTTTCACCCACCCCCGTGGGGCTCTGCAGACGTGGTCTGCCCCGCCGGCTGCCCCTTGAGCTCCAGCAGCAGCCCCCCCCCCCCCCGCCCCCCCCGCATGAATGAGATGCCGCCGGCAGCTCCTTTACGGAGGTGCACGATCTGGAAGGCGCATTGTTCCCAGCCCGGAGCCAGCACAAAGGACACCGAGATGCCGCATCGTTCCCCACCACCTAGCGGGGGGGGGGGGGGGGGGGGGGGCAGACAGGGGGCCCCCCCACACCCCCCCACACCCCCCTCGGCGTTTTGCCTGACACCACCGGGGGGGCCAAACCCACCCGCAACGCAGCCAGGAGCTGCCGAGCCGCAAAGGCTGGAGACAGGCGACACCCCTCCAGGTGAAGGGGCCGGGGGTCCCCAGCCTGGCCCCCCCGTACCCCGGCCGCAAGGGAGGGGAGCTGAGCTGAGCATCGCGGGGCTGGGCAGCAGGGACCCGGTGCGGTGAGGGGGGATGGGGAGCGGGGGGGGGGGGGGGAGGGGGGCAGCCCCGAAACGATGCGGAGTGGGGGGTTGGGGAGGATAGAGGCGGCAGTGGGGCTGCGGGACGCGGGTGGGGGGCGGGGAGCGGGACGGAGGGGCAAAAGACGATTCGGGGGGCACCCACTGCCCCGGGAACGGGCAGCGCCGAGCCGGGCACTCGCCAGCCCCCCCCCGCCGCGCACACGGCAGCCGCAGCCCCCCAACCCGCCGGTGGGCATCGTGCCCCGGGGTGCCCCGAGACCCCCGCACCCGCCGGGGGCACACGGCCCGCCCAGCACCCACCTCACGGCCACCTTGACGCAGCTGTCCCAGGCCGCCATGGCCCCGCCGCCCGGCACCGCGGCCGCAGCGCCCAGGGGCGGGGCGGGGCGGGGCGGGGCGGGGCGGGGCGGGGCGGGGCGGGGCGGGGCGGGGCGGGGCGGGGACATGCCCCCACGGCCGCGCTGCCGACACGCGGGCACGCGGGGAAGGGTCCCCGCACACGCACACGCGAAACCCCCCGGCACCCCCACCCCCCCCCCCCCACACTCACACACACACACACGCTCACACACACGCACACACACGATCACACATGCACACACACGCACACACACACGCTCACACACACACGCACACACACGCACACATACGCTCACACACGCTCACACACACGCACACACACACACACGCTCACACACACGCTCACACATGCTCACACACACGCTCACACACGCACACACATGCTCACACACGCTCACACACACACGCTCACACACACATGCTCACACACACACTCACACACACACATGCTCACACACGCTCACACACACACGCTCACACACACACACGCTCACACACGCTCACACACACACGCTCACACACACACGCTCACACTCATGCTCCCTCATGCTCACAACCTCACGTTCACTCACACACGCTCACTCACACTCACACACAAGCTCACACCCTCACATGCTCACTGATGCGCACACGCTCACACACATATCCTCGCTCACACACCCTCTCACACAGTCACACACACACACCTCACTGACACATACACATGCTCGCTCACACTCACACACTCACACGCACTCATGTGTTCATACACACCCTCACATACATTCACATTCACTCACGCTTACTTACACTCACGCTCCCTTGTGCTCACACATTCACACACGTGCTCACACTCACCCTCTCCCACTGTCACACACACACACACACGCTCACACACACACACATGCTCACGCACACCCTCACACACATTCACTCATGCTCGCATACACTCACCCGTTCGCTCACGCTCACATGCTCGCTCACACTCTCACACACACTCACATTTGCTCTCTCACACACACGTTCACACACTCGCTCTCACACCCACCTGTCGGTCCCTGCTGCCCCTCTGCCAGGCCATAGTCCCCACTCCCGCCCGCACACGGCTGTCCCGGTTTGTAACTGGGCTGGGCCGGGTTGTACCCGCGCTGTGACGGGGTAAACCTGGAGCAGGGCCCCAGCAGATCCCAGTGTGGAAGGGCCCCAGGGAGCTGGGGGAGCCTGGGGAGGCCATCAGCTGCCTGCCAGCCCAGTGCCAGCCCAGTGCCAGCCCAGTGCCAGCCCAGTGCCCTGGCAGTGACGGGAACTGGGCAGCCTGCAAGAGACCACTGCATGTACGTGAGGGTGCAGGTGCTGCTGGGTGTGACACAGGTGGAGACAGGGGTGCTGGACACAGCCAGCACTCCACACGCTGTCCCCACCCACCCACCACCGACAAGGCTTGGCACAGAGGAGGGAAACACCTCCCTGCAAAGGTGTTAATGACAGTCCCATGTGGTCCCCAGAACAAACCCTCCAGCTCCATGGTGCCAATAAAGGATGTTTCCAGCCTGCTCTGGGGTGTAGTAACGGCTTGGGACAGGGGACAGAGACAGAACCCTTGCAGGTCCCTGCCTCTGCAAGCAACAGAGCCTGGAGGAGGATGGAGGTTTCTTCCCACGTGGTTGGCATCACTCAAACACCTCCATGGCTTCACCTGGTCCCATCCCAGAGCTCTGCGCTGTGGGGGGATGACACCATTGAGCAGCAGGAGTGAGCACAAGGCAGTGGTGAGCTGGGTGCTCCTGCAGAGCCTCTGGGCCTGGGGAGGGGGGACTGGTGACCCTGGGGGTTGCCCAAGGCTGTGGCGAGAGCACAACCCAAGAGGACAGAAGATGAGGTTGATGGTATGGGTATGACAGGACAGTGCCTAGATGCTGACACGGTTCTCCAGCATGCCCAGTCCACACCATGTGGCTATGGGGGCCAAGCAGTGAGATGGGCACCTGTGGAGCAGAGGATGGTGCTCACAGGGCAGTTGGACTTTGGAGGCTAGCAAGGGGCACGTGCCCAGGGCCCATCAGGGAGCAGGAGTGGGGCCGGGCAGGCGCTGAGGAGCTGGAGGTGTCCTATCCTGGCTCCCCTCTCAGCTGCCTTCACATTGCTGGGGCTGCTGCTGGATGGATGTGCTGCCCTGTGCTGGCAGCACAGGCAAAGCCTGCGGTGCCCAGGTACACAGGGAGCCTCTGGCTCGGCAGGAAAAAGCATGTCCCAGCCTGAAGCAGGTGTGGGACCTTCAGTGGAACCCTGCAGGTCGGTGGTGTTGTCAGGTTGAACAGCAATGGAGTGTGAGGGGAAACTGAGGTACACTGAGATTTACTTTGAGGAGCCCAGGCTGTGTCCTGGGAGAAGCTGCCCATCTGCTCTGAGACAGCCAAGGCATGCCAGCACTGGTGGCCTACAGCTAATGAAGTCAGAACTGTGCCCAGTGCAGAGCCTGGCACCTGCCCTCTGGATGCCTTCACCTCAACAGCAGCAGCCCTTTGCTGCATCTGCTCATGTTCCTCCTGAGGCTCCCAGGGCACCTGGGCCACATGCCATGTGTGCACAGGGCTCTGCGCCCTGGGGGAGCTGGCTTGGCATCTTCTGGGGTGGGCAAGTTCCAGAGCACCTCATGCTGGTATAGCATCATGGGGATGAGCAGTACACGGCCCGTCTGTGATCCTGCAAGGATGTGAGGAGCTGGCATTTATCTTCTTTTGTCCCTGGGGACCATGTTTGAAAGGACACCTGGGTCGGGGCAGACTTCCCACCCTGAGCTGCCATTTTATCTGAGGCTGGATCCGTGGAAGCTCCAGGAAGAGAGGGGCAGTGACCGTGACGTGGTGTTTCTGGCCCTATCTTCCTACTCCCACCCTTGTGCCGGCCATGTCACAAGCCAGATCTATTCCCCAATTCAACTAGAAATTAACTCAAGAAAGATCTCCCAGATGCTAGTTTGGGGCAAATCAGTCCCTGTGCAGCCCCAGACTCCAGGAGACGGTGCAGAGGCACTGCCCCATCACTGCAGTATGTCCCCACCATAGCGTCACCCTTCATGTTTGGAGTCCCTGGTGAGCACCCATTTGCCTTGGAAAGTGTCACATGCAGTCCTGCACTTCACTAACTAACGGGACCAGGAAACCACCACCATTCACCTTGTAACTAATGAAGCACATCCTTCACCTCCCCCTGGCAGAGCAGATGCCAGAGCCTCATCAGCAACCACGACCCGCCCCTTCCTTAGGAGTGGGTGGATGTGTTTGTGAGGGTGTGTGTCTGTAAGGGGGTGTATGTCCTGCCCCAGGGCACTGAGGCAAGAGCGAGGGATGCAGCAGCTGTGCCTACACCATCCCTGCTGATTGCCTGTGTCCCCTCCGGGGAAAGCTGTCTGCTCTGCCATGTTCCCTGTACAAGATGGGCTCCCCCACTCAGGCTGCAGCTGGAGCTCAGCCACAGCCATTTCCCTTTTATTAAGTTAACAAATAAATGCCCTGCTGGAGTTCAGGCAATCTCTATTGATTCAGCACCTCCACTGGGACCCATCAGTTTTCTGCATTTTAATATATATTAGGCAAGGAAGAGCCCTGCGTTGCCCAGATCAGCTGGGCTGAAGGCCCATCTGGAGCAAGACCCCGGCAAAGAGGTGGCCTGGGGAGACAGGGCTTCCCTCAGTGCTTGGCACCTAGACCCTGCCTGGGACACTGAGATCTGTGAAGTGAAACCCCTGGGCAGACCCATTCCCTGAGAGGAATATCCTCAGCTGCTTGATACCAGGCAGCAGTGGAGAGTGCACGGGCAGCGCTGGCACAGGCATGCAGCAAGCGCTCTGCTCCCCATGCTCTCCTGGCCGTGCCTCTCTGGCCTGTCCCCTGCAGAGTGGATGAGACCTTCCTGTGGGCTGGGCAGCAGCCCGGTACAGCCCCAGTACAGCCCAGTTACAAACCACTACAGCCGTGTGCTGGTGGGAGCGGGGATGGTGGCCTGGCAGAGGGGCAGGGGGGACCAACGGGTGACAGTGTGAGAGCCCAAGGTAGATCTGCCCAAGCCACTTGTCCTCCTCCCCAAAGAACAGGCTTGGCTGCAAGCAGGAGGAAGAGGCTCTAGCAGAGACGTAAGGATGCTGAGTTCAGCTGCTGGGATGCCAGGAGACCCCCAGAGCTTGGTACCCTCGAAATGGCTGGGTGAGACATGAGCACTTGGGAGCAGGGACAGACCTCCCTTAGCATGGGGACTGGAGGCTGTCACATGAATCACTGCCACCTTTGGTTAAATGTGGTCTCGAGTTTGCAGCCCCCTCCCCAGGCTGGGCTAAGCAGCAAGCAACGTGGCCATAGGCTGTGCAGGCAGGGTGGCAGAGGAAGGAGGGGGGACAGAAGGATCCACAGAGTCACACAGCAGGAACGCTTTAATGACCCATCCAGCTCTTGTAAAATCCTACTGGCACAACATTGTCCTGTCCCGCACCAGCATCTGGAGATCCAGCCCAAACACCCTCCTGCAGCTGGACAGAGCCCACCAGGACTGCAGGCAGGGAGGGGGAGCAGTGTGGCATTGCTCCAGTAAGCCCCTGCAAGCTCCTGGAGGGACCATGCCTGCGGGGTTGCATCGGCAGTGGCTCACAGGTGAGTGGCAGCGATGGTCTTTTTGGAGGGGGCTGCACTGAGGGAGCTGGCTGGTGATGCGGCCGAGGCGTCCTGGTGGGCAGAGCCAGTTTTTCTGTCTTGTAGTGTTTCTCTTTGCTTTAGTAGTTCCATGGCTGCTTTCTCCACTTCATCCATCTCCAGCTGGCTGCTGGCTGCCATCTCATCCCTGGTCACTGCTACGAAGGATGGGTTGTGGGCCAGACTCGCAAGGCCCCCGGAGATCAGAGCCTACAGCAGAGGATGGGATCACAGCCCAATGTGTGCTCAGTCTGTACAAGTGTCCCTGGCTGCAGGCAGCCCATCCTCACCTCCTTTTCCCTGCTGCCATCTGCTCTGGCACACAGCTGCTGCCCACCCTCATAGCTAAGCTTTGCCCTC